TTATTCAGGAAATTAATGGAATTAGCTAAAACCTATTTTATTATTGATAGATAATGATTATAATTTCAATAAATATTTCATGAACTCATTGTTTAGCATAGTTTTATCAGATTTTCAAAAAAAGTTTCTAAATATAGAATAATTAAAATTTAAGAAAGTTGAAATTTCAATTAAACTCGTCAACTGTAACAAAGGATTTAGGAATCTCATTTTCATACTTCGGCAGCTGCAATCGATACACACACACACACACACACACACACACACACACACACACACACACACACACACACACACACACACACACATGATGTTGGTGTAGCATTAATTAATATTAAAAGCAGCATCGCTTCGGGTGCTCTCAGGATTTGCCAAGAGTAATCCTCGCCGGTTTGCATTATATTTGAGAGCTCACGGCTGCGGCATTATCAAACGGCGTTAAATAATTCAATCAATCACCGTGCCGTGACGGGGGCGACGCGAAAATCGGCCGAGCAATTCCGTCGTGTGAATTCGGATCATCCTGCTTTGCATGCGGCCGCAACATCTTGTCTGCTGATTGCGTTTTCCGCCCCCTGATCAAGTGATTATATGAATTATTCATGCAAACGCAGAAATTTCTCTCTCTCTTCAACTTTTATATTCTTCTTCCCTTGGGCTTGGCTGTTTTCGCGTCAGCCGGAAAATATTTGCCAAAGATTCGCAAACTCAGCACAGACGTACGTAAATAAATATTCCTCTCTCTCTCTCTTTGCTGCTGATTTTCGACGCGCTAACAAGACTCGCATGTGAGGAAAAAATATATAAATTGTTGTCGAGTGCACATAAGTCTCTCGCGGAGAGTGTTTGCGCGCAAAAAGCGACGAGGCAGGAAAAACGCCACGCGTTGCCAACTCTCGATAAGGAATGCAAATCGACAATGGGCTGGCGAATTGCGATATTGCCAAATTTATTAGCTTCACCGCCGCGTGCTCGTAAATCAGGTCGCGGCAGCCACTGTTTCATTATGACGCCTTTTTGAATTTATTGCAAAACAAGAAATATTTCTGAATGTGTTGATAACTTGCATTCTGCGCGGAATAAACCAAATATTAAATCCCAAGTTTATTTCAGTTCATATAATTTTCCAATAATGCAAAAAAAATTTCATACACAGAATTTAATCATCATGTTAAACTTCAAACATTGACCCTGTGACTGATTAACAAATAATAAGCATGACGGTTAATTAAGTAATAAAACCAAATTACTTTTTCTATATAAAGTTCAGGCCAACATTTTATTAGTTTGGTCAAAATCAAACTCAAAATCATATTTTCCTTAACACTTTAAAATGAAAGGCCTCCTTTACAAAGAATTTTATGCTATTTAATTTAGTTTTATATCAATTAAAAATCACAAAACTGTAAAAATTTGAAATTATAAGTTAATCAAGTTCATAGAGCTAGCATTAAATCATTTTTTTCTGAGCTAATACCTCACAATCATTTGTGACGCAATTCTCTAATTACAGAGCTATAAAAAGTTGGATAAACTCTTGCACGGCGCACAAAAGAAATTGCAAATTAAAGCGAGACGAGAAAGGTTTCGCGTGCAGAACTACAATTACGCGAGACCATTACAGCGCAATTTTTCCTAGCAAAAGTACAATTAATCCTTGATTGAAGCCATTAAATAAATTTCATTTGATCCATTATCCGTCCACGTTGACTAATTAGGTCGTTGAGCCGTAATTTAATCGTGCGCGATTATTCCGCAATCAAATTCACACACCCCTGCCATTCTTCGTGCAATCCGGCTCTAAACAAATCGTGAATGCTAATGACGCTCGCGCAGAACAAAATAATGTAATTAATTACTATTTTCCCGCGCGCGCAGCAAAGTATAATGTGAAATTTATTCATAGCGGTTTGCGCTGTTGCAGTATAAATATTTAGCGTTGGGGTTTTTATTCTTTCCAGGACACAGCAAATTGCAACTCCATCGCATTATTTACGACGTGCACCGCTTTCCAATAATTGTTCCGCTCGTGTGTCTGCGTCAGCTGCGCGCCTGTAACAGGATTTTAATCAACTAGTGTAGAAAATAGATCGAGTTCAACCCACCAGCAGTCGGGCTTTGTGCCTCTTTAATGGTTTTTCTCTGTGCAAGTAAATAAGAGGTCAGATGGAGAATCGCTTAAAATGCTGATTTCCTTTTTTGCCTTTTGACTTTGATGCTGATTTTTTTTTATCATGCCTTCAGATAATTGTACCATTTAACGTCTTCAAATTGAATTTTCAAACATTTTTTTAAAAACAAAATTATGCTTACTGGCGTATTTCGTAGCATTCTGTGCTCATAATGAAACATAACAAACATTAATTAAATAAATAATACAACAGATTTGCTGAAAAATCAAGTTATATTGGAAAAGGACCTTAAAAATAAAAATAATAAACAGATTTACTCACTGAAAATTAAGATTAAACAACAGTTAATTTGGATATTTAAAACCAATCGGGATATTTCTGAGAAATTATAGAAAATACAATTAAACTTACAACCAAAGCCAACTTTGTTATTTTTGTTTTTGTCTACATTTTTGCAATATATTGTTTACATTCATTTGTTGAAAACGATTTTTTTTTTAAAGTTGGTCTAAACACTAAACGGCACCACCACTAGCAAGAATTCAGCTTAAACTTCTGAGACCTGGTAATTTTGAAATTACTTCTTCTTTTAAAGTATAAATATCTGCTAGAAATAATTTAAAAATTGTGTAAAATTTAAAATTTTGACCTGTTGATGCATTGTGTTGAAATCGGGACCATTTAAGCGTGTCCTCCTTTTCTCATTCTTGTCCTACTCATACGACACGCATCGGTTTCACTTATCCCGGCCCGTCTTAAAGAGCATAAAAACCTCAATGGTCGCCCGCTTGCTTGCTCTTCTATGGAGCTCTTAAGGTCTTTGGGTGCGTTTTTGGCCCGTCTGTCTGAAGCATTAGATTTATTTACGGCGACCCGCTGCGCACTTAACATTTTTATTGCCCTTTTACCCTTTCGCAGCGGCAAATTGAAAATGATTGAAACAAATATATGTCTCGCGAAAAATTAAATTTCCTGCCTCTCGTCTCGTTGTTTTATTATTGCCTTTGTTTTAATAAAATTTGCGCGACACAAAGAGCTCGGTGGAAAATCTTGAGAGAAATGTAAAGCCTGGGAGAAAAGCAGCATTGTTGGCCGCCTTTGTTTGCACGGCGGCGGCGGCAAATGAGATTTCAAACGGTCCGATGTGTGCATGTGCGCACGGCCAGACCCTCCAACCGCAACAATGCTCCTCGTCTTACACACGGGATTCGCTCCAATTACTTTTATTCTAGTCCTTTGTCTGCAGCTGCGGGCCAACTTCAACCTAGTTAAATTTTTTATATGCTCCGCCGTCCCTGCCAGTTAAATTTATTAAGCAAAATCTTCAAAATTCTGCCTTTGGTCTGGCGGAAAATTCCGGGAAAATTAATTTCAATGAAAGATGCCTTTCCGACGCCGCATTAAATTTTTATCACAAAACGAGGCGCGTGTGTTTGTTTTGGGCGAAATTAGTTTGAAAAGTCAGTACCGCAGAAGCCATTCATTCACCTGCTTTGCTTTGCCAATTATTAAAAGCAGCGTTTTGCGAATGAGCCGTTTTTACTTTCCTGCTCTCTGTGGTTTTCTTTGCCTGGCGGAACGGAAGTAACCTTTCTGGGCTGTGTGTGTTCTCGGCGGCGCGCGAATTGGCCGTGTTTGCGAATTGATTGCCGCAACCGGACCAGCCAAGGGTGAAAGCCCTCTTTGCACCCTCGTGCGTTGGGCTAATTGCCAATTTCTAGAGCACAGACGAAAATCAAAGTGTCTTTCTGCAAGACGTGCAGCAAAGGGCTTTGAACACCACTTTAGCTGATTTCTGACGTTGTGATTTTTGTATTAATACAAGAAAGGATTCACTGGATCCTTTCAACTTTCTTTTTCAAAATCAAAACTAATAAAATTAAGAGAAGAACTATATATTAACTCATCAATCAAGATCATCATGGTGAATTGAAAGAATTAAATTTAATTTAATGTTTTATTTTCAAGAAATTCTTATATATCTGTTTGTTTGCAATTCAAAAGCAATTATTTACACTCAGCAGTTGTGCAAAGAATATTTAATTACCTAATTTGATGATTATTTATTGCAAGTTTAACTAAAAGTTTTCATTTTTATTGCAAGTCCGGTCAATACATGATTTTCAGTTTGAAAAATTTATTAATATAAAAATTATATTTTATTTTAAATATAATAATAACTAAAAACATATTATTTTTATTGATGATATTTTATGTTATTATTATTTCTTTATTTTTTTTCTATTAAGTTATATTTTAAGCAAGATATTTTTTGCATTTCTTCTTAAGAGAAAAACTTTCATGGATATTTTCATTACTCATTTGATAAATTTTTACAGAGTTGAAAGCTGCTTCACATGAAATGTTTCTTATTTTTGCCTCATCGGCAGTTCTTCATTGGACATACATTTTTACTGGTATAATGCTCATGTATACGTATACAATATTTTATTACATAATCTGGAATTACCTATTAATTACCAAAAAATTTACATTCACACTACTTCGTGTTTTCTCTTTCAGTGTTTTAAAATTAATTTTTGTCGTAGTTTTGGAGCTCTTAATTTTTTTATATCTATTTTTATTTTTTGTGATTTCATCTCTTATATATTTATAAATTTATCGCATTGTGTGATGGAAATTAATTTATTAATATAAATTAAATTTAATAATGCTGCTCAACAATGACAAATTTTTATTCAAACTCTTCTTTTAGGAGATAAAATATGAAGATCTTTTTTCCAAGTGTGTATAGCAGATTTTTTTATTAATTTAAAACATTTCAGGTTTTATTTTTATTGCAATCTTATCCATCAAATATATTTTGTTTTTAAGAAATATTTACAAATTTCTCCTATTATGTTTCAGGTAACTCGATCTTCACATCATGTTTTCCTTGAATGTGATTTTCCTGCTTGCTCGTAAGTAGAATGGCAAAATTCAAGTGAAGAGAATTTTTTAGACATATATTCAGAGATCAATACGAGATTTGATGTTGTTTATGCGACACACAAAAGGTTTGGGCGCAAACGCAAGACTTGATTTGCTGCACCAAAGTGAGTCTATTCAGTTGTTGTGTTCCGCATCAGCCAGCATAAACCCATTCTGCATTGCTGCAAGTTTTGCCCCTTTCAACTTTGCGACGGGGCCCCAAAGCGAAATCCGATGGCTTCCGAAACAGAAATAAGCAGAGCAGGCAACCGCAATCCCGCTCGGCACGCACAGATGAAAATAAAAGTGGGCGCCTCGCCTGGTAACAGATGGCTCGCCGAAATTCGCCCATCACTTGTTCTCCGATTGCGTCGTCGTTGCTATTCAAACACTGCGTTATTTACTCGTCTCGTACTTCTCTCTGCCGACACACGTGCCACACCCGCCTCCTCTATTACTATTATCATTCGGCAAGAGGCATTTTCCGAATTTGAAATTGAAGTGTCACTCGACGCAGAGAGATACAGATATTCGCTTGACGTCTCTTTTGCAAAATAATAAATGGAGGAAAAATTCCATCTCGTAATTGAATCGCACTCCTTGTTCTTGAAAAATGACACTGAGCAACGGAGGTGAAAGTGTCTTGAAAAAAATGAAAACTTCTGTTTCTGAGCAAATACAAATAATATAATAACTAATAAATCATGTTAAATACTTCGCAGGCTAAAAAAATTTTGTGGAAAAGGACTGCATTGATTTCACCGTTTTCCATGAAGGATAATTTCACAGAATCTTTTAAAGAAGGCAATAAAGCGGCCCCAGCAGACCGGAGAAAAGTTCTAGGCCAATTTTGACACTGTCCTGTAATAGTTTTGAACGATGAAATTAAATCACAATCCATCCGTGTTTCATGTCTATTATTTAAAAAGAAAAAAAATCGTTCAATTCTGTTTTGATAAATTTTATATTTACTTGGGAAGAAAAGTAAACACTTTTTCTAATTAACGTGGTGTGCCGAGAAAATATTTCTTTTTGTTTGCGCCTCGCATTCTTTCCCGTAAAAGTTTCCAACTTCCCACGCCCAGGAGTAGCCTTTTGGCTTCAGAATTCTTGTCTCTTTCTTTGCTCCTCTCGGAGTCGAAGTTTCTTTTCCTTTGCTTTCCCGTACGTGCAACTTTTTCTCATCATCTTCTTCGGTCCCAAGTCGCCACCCGGTTTTAATTATGCTGCGCTCTCACCTACTTACACGACCGGCTTGTAAATAATTAATTCCGCTCGTAATAGTTCCCGAAGGACCAAATCCCCGGCAAAGCCTCCTTATTGTGTTCTCGCTCGTTATTAATATTTTCGCCCGGCTCGTAATTGCAACAATTGTCATCGTATCGTGTGCTGACGCGGATTTTCTTTCCATTGTTGTTGCAAAGCGGCAGCAGCGGCTAACGAGCCAATTGTGCGCGCCATTTCTTCTGACGCCTTAATGACGAGACCCATTAAACGAGTGCAATTGGCGGACGATCCGCCACATTTTCGCCGTTTTCCGCCATTCGTCGTCTTGATTTTCCGCCCAGAACGCACTTCGGAAGGGCAATTATATAACGAGCAGGAAATTATTTGAAGGCGTTTGATGGGTGAAGTTTTGTATCAAGTGGAATAATTATTACAAATCATCAATTAAAACAGTTTAGCACTTCAAATTTTATATATCACACTGACAATAATGTTATTCGCCATCAAACTCTTCAGCATACAAAAGGAAATTCAGAGTAATTTTGTAATTTTTTGATGTTCTTATAATGATGTTCATACAATAAAATATCATTATTAAATATTATTATTTAAAAATATATCTATTATATTAATTTTATTGAATATTATGTTAAATAACTATACAACATTAAATAATATAATAAATTGTTAAAAAAACGGTTATATTGAAATGATAAACTTAGAAATCATAATTTTGAATAAAGAATTTTAAATTATTTTTCCTTTCAGTTTTATAATTTCAATTTAATAATTTAAAAGTTAGACTCCATATTATTTGCTCCAAAAGCTATTGGAAAATAAGTAATTTTTCATTAAAGAGCATCGCCTCATAAATATTAAATTTTCATCGGCAGTGAATTTGTCAAGGTGAGTTTGCGGTTTAGTTGCATTAATTCGATTTTCCGGTGCGTTTCACTCTCAGCAGCTGCATTTTCCTGGTCGTAAATCTGCATAAACGGAGAGACGATGCATCAAAGACTATAAAGGTCGGTCGATGGAGAGCGGAATTTATTGCACGGTGTCCACTCCACTCTTTGGTCGGTGCACTCGACGGGTTCGAACGTAATAAAGCGGTGCACGCAAGTGAGTGAGCAGCCAGGCCGGATCACATCTCATGCATAATCCAAAAGCAGCCAGGAGATGTTGAAAAAGTGCACTCTCAGCAGCGGCAATTCTTCGGAACGACCGCCGCCGATTAACGCTCATGCATTAGGCAACAGTTCCTTCGCCCCAGTCAATAAACACTTCTCAAGCAGACGCAATCACATAAATTCGAAATGCGGCGGGCGCGACCCCAAAATTAAATTCGGCTTCATTTCATCGGCAGCTGACTAAGACATTTCCGTCAGCAATTGTTGCAGTTCTAAAAACAGGTCAATCAGTTTGTTATAAAAAACGATACAGGGTTGCAAACATGGGAACAAATAAAGATAAAAGGAGCATAGACATTTTTTGTAAAAATATTTCAATATTTAGTTAAATTCAAATTTTTATTAACATATTTTGGCAATAAGACTGATTTCTGTTTGGTTACAATTGTCTAATAATATTCTTTTCAAATTGGAATTTTTTTTGAAACTAAATATTAAAAACTATTATGAATCAGAGAAAAGTTCAATAGTAGGAAATTTATTTATTTATTTTATCAGAGAAACTATTCATAAATGTTTGATATTATTATATAGATGGAAAATACGCTCGCCCTGTGTTAATAATTAAGTGAATATTTTATTGAGAAATTGACATTTCCGCGTTCGGGTTAAATAAAATGCTTTTAGCTGCAAACATTTTTACTCCTAGTTTTTATCGATTAGAATGAATTTCAAAGTGGAATGCCCGGTGCTCGGCAGCTTTTTTACGTTGCCGGTGCCGCCTTTGAGCGAAATTGACTGTGTTGATTTTTAATCAAAGTAAATCCCAGAGCACCGGCGAGGAAAATAATACACAAAAAGCAGAGAGAACGGACAGAGACAAAGGGCGGGCGAACAAAAAATGGCCAGTGACAATTATTGCAGGGGTTAATCAACGCTTTAGTTAGTTTATGTGCAAACAAAGCAGGTTGGTTAATTGCAGTGCTCGCCTCGCTCCGGTCGCCACTTGATCACGCCAAATCAGATTAATTAGGCTGCTCTGTTTGTTCGGGGGAATTCCGGCGAGCAAACACGGCAAGGAGCCGATTGAATTCTGCAGGGAAATCTCGCCGGCAAACAAAAGACCCGCCGAGCTGAAATCGTTTGTTATTTTTTTTTTCGTCGCAGAATTCATCTCTGACGAGGAGGGTTTTCGCGCGTGAGAGCGGTGAAATTAATTAACTCTTGGGCCTGCGAGTGCAGCAAAATGTCGCAGTGCAGCAAAGCACACTTAAAAGTCTGCTGGCACTTTTGCAATTAAGAATGCAAAATATTTGCATCCGCGCCTTTTCACGAGCCTGTCACCCAGTTTGAAATGCTCTTGTGCAGGGAACAATGGACTTTTCTCGAGCACCACGCCGCTGTCACCACTCCAGCACGTTTTTTCAACGCAAATCGAAGAGCCAACTTCACGAATCAAGATTCTGGCAAACTATAAACATCAAAATGTGGGATGGGAAATTTATTAAAATGAATTATAACTTTCATATAACGCCAAAATAATTTAATAAATTGAAATTAAGGACTAATTTATTATTACATTTTTGAGTAAATTTTAAACTATTTTCACCTAAAGTAACCTATTTTTAGATTTTCAATTGATTTATATCTCAAATTTTGGAAAATTTTATAAAAATTAATTACGCCTTTTTTTCAAGAAACATTTTCTTTTAATAAAAATGGCCTCTAACAAAATAGATGGACTAACTTCCACATAAAATATTAATTGCCCGATTAGAGAGTTTGACACTTTTGCCAGCATTATGAAAACTTTCTTCCTTTGAAGAGTTTGAAGTATTAGGTTTTCAAACCAGATCTGACAATCTGCATGAAATTAGCACGCATTGTTGAAGTTGACACCTCTTTTCGGGCCCCCTCTTTTTTAGCGGTTCTTAAACAGCGAAATATTTACCCCTGCGTCGGCGCTGCTATGGCGAAATGAACTCAAAACGGGGCCGAAAGCAAACACGCCGAGACGGGGCTGCTGCATAATTAACGTCGACCCACATGCACATTATTCTCGGCGCACTCTGCTCTCGTCAGGCGCCCTGGGACGCATAAAATAAATGCACTCTTAAAATTCCGCTGCATTCTCTCCCTGTCTCGGTGCACTCAGTTCACTTTTCAATTAGCGGCGTATTTTTATCATTCTCAGTCCACCGGGAATTCGCATCGGCCTTTCTCTCGGGAACTCTCAATGATGGATGCTTTTATTTTCAACTCTTTTAATCCGCCGGGCTGCTTTTGCTCTACTTTTGCTCTTCCCGCCGATCGCCTTTTGTTGCCAATTTTCTGCATGCAACTCACACGCTTTAGACTTTAGACGACCCACTCTCGTTTGTTGAGGACGAACGTGCGCTAAACAGCCTGCGGTAAATATTCATTTTTTGCTCGCGCCACGTACGTTTCGTCTCCCCGCAACATCTGGCACAAAAGGCCGCTTATTTTTAATTAATGGCAACGGCGAGAGCGTGCGGAATTCGCATTCATCGCGGAACTGTAAATTATTAATTTTGCCATTCCTCCTTACTCTGTGAAACGTGTTGATGTTCACGAATTGCGATAAAATTATTTTGTTATCATTAAAGTGATTC